TTCTCTTGTGCTGGTCTGAATCAAAACTATGGTGTCTGAAATGTAACTTGAAAATGTTGTTTTTCCCCCCCCAGCATTACAACACATCCCTTCTTGCTGCTGCAGCTGCGGCAGTTTCCGCATCAGATGATCAAGAACTCTTACACTCTCGTTTTTTCCCATATACTTCATCTCAGATGTTTCTCGATCAGCTAAATGCAGGAGGAAGCAGTTCTCTGCCAGCCACAAATGGTAGCAATAGTGGCAGTAACAGCAGTCTTGTTTCCTCCAACAGCCTGCGAGAGAGTCATGGTCATCCAGTTGCAAGTAGGAGCAGCACGGACACGGCGTCTATCTTTGGTATCATACCAGACATTATTTCATTGGACTGATTTTTGGAGCAAATGAACTTGTCGGCAGAAGTCTTTGTGCTTGATTTTACTTTATGTTAGAAACATAGACAAGTTTTTTTCCTTTTTTAGGGAAAAAAATTTACATGTACAGAGAACAAAACTATATTTTCAGTTTTACTTTTGTATATAAACCTAAAATGGCCTCACTGGTAAAAATAACAAAAAAACACAAAAAGAAAAAAAAAAAAAAAGAAGGAACTTCAGTTCAATTTTATGGATGCTGAAGATTTTACACCTGTGCATTTGTCATGTGAGTTACTTTTTTTTCCCCTTAGTTTGGACACAAATGGCATTATTTTTCTTCACAGTTACATAAATGGGAAAGGAACTGAACTTTTGAAGTTCAAACGTGTAGGAGGGTATTTTATTTTTTTTTTTGCCTCTTAGAGACATTTATATGTGGTGGTGGAATCTAATTCCCCCATCTCATTTCTAGTGCAGAATTTTATTATGCTTGAAGTGGAATAAACCCTACCCAGACTGTTCCATACCATTCCCTCTGTTTGCAGGACAGCCTTTCAGGACTGTGTTTTGTCACTTCTGGTTCTGTGTGACCCTCTGTTCAGATGACATTTTTTTGGAACTCCGTGCTTCAATCAGGCATGTTGCAAGCTCATTAGTGCACCAATTATTCTTGAGGGCCAGACTCAATAAAATCTTAGGCTGAGAAATTACTTGGCTGTGCTTATGTGGGACAAGACAGAATTTTTTTTATAGAATCTAGCCCCGAATAAAAGCATCGACATATCTGACTGTAGGTTTTTGTTTCTAATAACTTGCTATGAAATCCTTTTAAAATAACTGAAAATCCTAATCAAAATATTAAGCATGTGTCAGTTTGAACTTTGTGGAACTGCTTGTGCTTTCCAGTTAGCCATGCGTGTATCAGCGGCCTACTGAAGCGAGGCCTATCTCGTTCTGTCTGGGAAAACCTACTTTTAGCTGCCGTAGATCAAATTCCTGCTTAAAAGCGAACTTTTCAACAAAAAGGAAGAAACTACAAATACCAACGCGCTATTGCATGGTTTGTGCAGCTGGTAATGGTTTTGGTACACTGTCTCTTGATTTCACATTCATCAAAATTACGTTGATATTACATGTCCAATGCGAGTCTGCTAAACCAAAAACTAATCCCAAATGCCCTACCCTGCACTTAAATGAATTTCTGCCTATCGAAGTCTCTTAGGGTAGCGGGTTTCATATTCAGTTTTCTCTTTTTGGACTTGCAATTACTGATTTCCCAGTTTTTCAGTATGTTTATGTTGAACTTTTTGAGCCACACTTACTTCCTGGTTTCTTTTCTGTTTGTTTTTTTTTTTAGGTTGTGCATGACATAGGAAAATCTTTTTTTAAGAACTGGTGGATCATTTGGGCTGATCCATTCTTGTTACAGAGAGAAACGTGTAAATAGCTGGAATGCAGTTTTTCAGGAGATTCTTTAAAGTAAGAGTGGGGGGAGGGAAGGAGGTGATTCTCTTGCGTCCCAAAGTCCACGTCAGAGAGAGTAAATATTTCCTCTGGTGTGAAAAATATTTTTTTAACTGGTTGAAAGTGCAGGTAACAAGTTTATCAGGAAAGAGAGTAAGGAATACTAAAAATAGCAGATTGTTGTCTGAATTTTTAATGTCCAAAACTGCAGCTAGTTGCTTTGAGCATTGACAAGGGCCACCTTTTGCCTATGAAGTTGTCTCAAAATCTTGCATTACTTAAAAAAGAAAAAAAAAAGAAAAAAAAAAAAAAAAAAGAAAAAAACTTTAATCCAAGTAGCATTAGGTATTGCTGTATGATCAGTTGTATGGTTATTTGAAAGGTTCACATGATTATGTGGCATCAAAATTGTTTTTAGTGTTTTTACAGCATCCCTCTGCCACTAAATAGTTGACTTGAATTTTGAAAACAAATGTTTGTGTTTATATGTATATGTGTGTGTATATATGTATTTATAGATCTGTGTGTGTGAGTTAAAAGTGAGTTAAATAGTTTTTCCCATGCATGTGTATTTCATACATATCTGGCTGATATATATATATATATTTCACCATACACCAGTTTTATAATTTATTAAATGTCAGTTAAAAAATAAATAAAAGGATAGAAAATGGGAAATACTTATTTTTTAAACTCAGTCTGATTTTGAAGTGATTAAACCTACATTAGGAATATGTCTCATACATTTTAGTCATGAATCCTAACCTGGTAACTTCAGAGCATATGCTTTGCTAGAATACCTTTTGTAAATCTGGAGTAACTCCGGTCCTTCCCCACTGCCATCCGGGTAACTGGGAGCGTGCGTGTCCCCAGCTGCTGGAGCACCTAAGAGAAATTCTGGAGAGCTTTTGCTGCTGATTGCACAACGTTTCCATTGCCTGTATTGTTCAAGGTGAGCTGAAAACCAGCTTGCGTCAGTTTTGATGATGGTATTAAAATCCTGTTAATTCACGTAAAAAATGAATCATGGCAAGCGTATGGGAACACAGAACCTGGCACCTTTCTGCCTGTGTCACTTTTTGGAAAGTGAGGTCAACTGATGATGTCTTCCACTTCCTCACAAGTTCCCCCGAAGGGAAGGAAGGCCGCTCAGTTCTCTGCGAACTCATTTTCTAACCTCATTGCTCTACAGAGAAGGGGGAGAAGTGTTCTCAAGTCCTCCTTTGTGGTATTAATCCCATATGCTTTGTGAGTTTTCCTATTTCATGCTAAGGTGTTCTTTATAGCTGATAATTCTCTGTGCCTCTGACCACAGTTAACATTACTTGGTAGAAGTCTCAGTCTGAGTTCTCGAAGTTCCCAAATGTATCTCCCGAGGTTAATCCCCGTTAGTTTGCAGTATCTGAAGATGCAGCGAGGTGACCCAGCACGTGCCGGGCTCAAGGTACTGCTCGCTTTGCTGTAGCTTCCGAAGCTCCTGTAATCCTTGGACCGGTGGCTTCGTGTCCTCAAATTCTTCGCTAGAAGGATTTTGGGTGCGCACACGTCTGCGTGATGTGTGTAGGTACATCCACACGTGGCATGGGGAAATGCTGCTGCGCCAAGAGCAGGGTGGAAGCAGCTCTGAATCACTCTCGTGGGCATTATTTTGGTGCGTCTTTGGGAAGAACAGAACACGCCGAGCTATAACCTAGAGCGTGCAGTGCAAACACCGTGGTACGTCCACAGTTAAAGGCGAGATAGCGATTTGGGCTTGCCCATCCCTCTCCACGGCAAGGATTGAGTAAGGCAAGGATTGAGTAAGCCTTCCAAGGACGGGCTGCCTGATAGGTTTCCCTTGGACTGTCTTGGAGCTGCCTCCTAACGCAGAGCTAAGGACTGGGAGGAGAACAAGCTGGAAGTTAATTCTTTGCTGCAGTTCAACATTTCAGGGTTTTAAGCACACTTTAAATATTTTCAGAAAGGGTTTTGTTTCGTCAGTGTAACTGTTTTTCTTTTCTTTTTTTTTTTTTTTTTAACCAGAGCTTAGATTTCTAACAAGGGAAAATTGCTGGTGGTCCCCGAAAGTGCTGCTGTTAATTGTTTTAATTAACAAAGGGAAAAATGTATATAAGCAGAATATTAAAATTACCATTAATTCCATGAATTTAAATCTGTCATTCATTGCCTTAAAACTTTCTCTTAGTTTCCATACGGCATGCCAAACCAGTAAATGGCTTTTAAAAATGTATAGTAGACCAATGTCAGTTTGTATAAAAGTACCAAGTGAAAATATTTATTATATGCATTGGAAAAAAATGGTTTACCTATTGAATGTTACCTGTTTATGTAGAAATCTTTAGATGTAATAAAAAGCATTCAGCTATGTTGTGTTCTCTAAAATAAAAAAAAAAAGGGAGGGGGGTTGCAGGGTGCTTTCTGTGAGCTCAGAGTTGCAGAGGAGCCTCTCGAGCAGGAATGCTTTGCTTGGAGATGTTTTGTGGCGTGGAGTGGTTCAGGCTTGGCTCTCCCAGCTCTGACAATGCTGCTTTGTTTTGTGAGTACACGTGAAGTGCAGTTCCCTTTTGCTGGCTTCTCTGCCTTTATCTGGGTAGTGTTTACCCAGCCTGAGAGGGCAGCACCAGCCCGCTGCCATACGGGTGTGTTCTGGGGTGATCCGAAGCGGATTCTGAGCTGATCAATCCCTGGGACATCCGAGCTTTTATTTTGTCTGCAGATGAAGAGATTTGTTAATCAGCTGTTCTGGTTAATAGAGAAGCATTAAGCACGGTGCTGGATCATTTCTAATTTAGCTATTGATGCATATTGGAAACAAATCATCCTGAATGAACTCCTTGTTTCATAAGCTGATTGTATTCACTCAAAGCAAGCGAGGTTCTTGCTCCCTTGCCCTGCTAGCAAAGCACCAAAGCCCTGGAGCAGCTCCGGTGGGCAGGAGGCTGCAGCCTGCGGGCGGACTCGGGGTGCCCAGAGGCTCTGCACCAAGGTAGGTGAGGTTTTGGCCAAGTGTCGAGATGAATGGGGCAGTAGTGGGGACAGTTACAGGGAAACGGTGTCCCTGCTGTTAGCTGGAACCTGCTCCTGTTCTAGGGAACCCTAAGCTCTATGGCACACCCTGGATGTAAGAGCACTTGTTGAAATAAGAGTTGTTTTTTTAAGCACGACACGTTTGACACAAGGAAATGTTACATCCAGTTTATTTAAATATCAGCTCACACTTCGCTGCAGTGCTTCTCTGGAAATGGGGTGGGAACCTGTGCAAGTGCAATCGCAAGGCAGAGTGGGGATCCTTAAAGGCAAACGATGATTTCCGAGTCCAAGCAGTAAGGAGGAAAAAATGAAAAAAGTTTCAGGTCCTGCCCTTATCAAATCTCCTGAATTTCAGTAGTCGACTGTAGGAATACAAATGGCGTGGGCGAATTCTTCATATTTTATTGTTCCATTTGGTCCAATCTTGGCCTCTTTTAGCAGGTCATCAACTGAAAGAAAGCACAAAAGAAAATACAAAGATCAGATTTGGTACATCTAATGGATGTTTCAATATTCAAAATAAGAGGTTTCCAAAGGGAGTTCCCAGGATCACTCGCAGGTGCCAGCCAGTTTTAAACTCGAATTGATTTTGATTTGATTTTGGTGTCAGTGTCTTAACTTTTTAATAAAAAATTGGAACAGACATTTTCTCTGAGTTCCTGTGAAGTGTGGTGCCGGTAATGAAGCTCTTGCTGGGTCACACCAGCTGAAGATCAGTTCCTGAGGCTTCCCCATGGAAAAGACCCACAGATTGAATCCAAATCAGCGTATAACCACTCTTGGTAGGTTGGGTTGTTGGGTTTGAGTAACAAAATTGTTCCTATTCAGTTTAGCTGAACTAAGTGCTTATGTAGATTACATGCCCGGCTTTAAGTAGATTTGTGTGCCACTTCTAATATCAGCTTTGTGTTTGAAAGCAAAGCATCCCCTCTTGGCTGTGGCTCCAGCTGAAACCCATTCCTGGAGAAGCGGTAACTGCGGTCACCGCCTGGCAGCAGCGATGCTCCTCGGGCTGGCGTTGGGAATGCCGCGGGGGTGATGTCAGTTATTGGACTTAAAATGCTCCTTTCTGCAACAACTAAACCACTAAGAGGTATTTTCCCATAAAATAGTAAACGTTCAGTAAAATAAGAAGCACATGAGGAATTATGCATAGAAAAATGCTAAATGTTGCTGGATGGAGCTGCTGCTGGGGGTTAGATGCTGTATTCCTTCCTTCGGGTGATGGGACAGGAGGCGAGTTCCCTCGCTTTGCTTTACCTGTAACATACAGCACTGAAAGATGTCAGAGAACCCCAGCAGCTTTTATACGATAACATTTTGGGCAGCAGCTTCCTTTGATAAGGAATCTAATGCAGCACAGGGGTGGGTTTTGGTCCCGTGATGCTGATGTTGAGCCGTGTCGCCGGTCCTTGTGCCAGCAGCGTGGAGCAGAGCCGTGATGGGACACTGAGAGCATGGGGCAGGTGGGCTGCGGGAGGAGCAGCAGTTGGCTTGGGCACCTGCATTCACTGCTTGATATTCCATCAGCAGGGCACCTCCCGGGTGTCTGGAGCCTGTTGATGGATGGTCAGAACAGATAGGTTTGCAGGCAGGTATCGGTGTATGGATAAAGGGCTATGGGGCCGGCAAGGCGCTCCGGGGAGCTGCAGACACAGAAGGTAAGGAACAATCCCTTGCTTCCAGATCTAATCCTCTCAAAGAGAATATCCTGATGGAAATCGAATGCTTCTAACGGCATAAATTCGAAAATAATTATTCCCAGAACGCTGAGAAATAACACAGAAGAAAAACGTGTCGGTTCTCATTTGGTACGAGTACATTAGAGGAAAACGAAGCGCGAGCTTTTCTGGAAGCCCTGTAAATGAAGGGATGTGCCAGTAGTTACTGAACAGCCGCAGATGCTAATGAAATTGAGTCTGCTCTGGCATCAAATATTTATAGCAGCTTAGCAAGCTGGAGTTCAGCGTGTCAAGCCAAAGGGGGAATTTCTTGTTGAGAAGAAGCATCGCTTGCTTCGTGGGATCTATGGCGCTGCGTTAGGAGCTGGCGGATGGGCTGCACATTTACTCCCAGAGTAATGGGAAATCCCCCCCGCGCCTCCCGAAGCTTCTCTGTGTAATAGTGGTTCTTGCTGGGATGCCTTTAATTAGGGTTAATGCCTCCGTGTCTTCACTGTTTGTTCAGCTCTCATAATAGCTCCGAAAGTGTTTTCAGATGTAAATAGCTGCATAAACTATTATTCCAGTTAAACAATTGAGGAAAACGCTCAACGTTGTGCCTTGCTGGCACATCACCCGTAAGGCTGGCTCAGCTGATGGGTGCTCCAGGATGGACAAACCTTGTCCTGATGAAATCCAAATCTCCTTTACCATCAGGAAGGCCCTCAAGGAGCCTGACGGGGGCTGCACAACCCCAGAACCTTGGTAAAACCGTGGTAAAACTCCCCCCTTGCCTGCCTCGAACCGCTAGTAGGGGTTTCTGGTGCCCCACCTTTGGCAGAGGGGAGCAGCTTTCAGACAGGCAGGACTATTTTTCTCAGCTCAGGAGCACACACTACGTCTCTGCTACGTCTCTGTCTGGTGAAATACCTTCTTCCTCGGAGAGTTTTTCTCCCAAGTTTGTCAGCTTGGCCCTCAGCTCCGAGACAGTGATGACCCCTCTCTTCTGCCTGTCTATCATGGACAAGGCCGTGAAGATTTCCTTCTCGGGCTCCTCCTGCTTCGTTTGCCTGTACATTATGTTCAGGAAAGTGGAGAAATCCAGTTCAGCATTTCGCTCTGGGGGGAAAAAAAAAGAGCAGATTCTTTACGAGGGGCTCAGTGCTGCAGTCCCCACCCAGCCCTAGCACCTTCCTCTGTCCTCCTCCCCAAAAAAAAAACAACCAACCAACAAAAAACCCCTGCCAGGACCAGATAGCTGAACTTCAATGTGCTCATCATTTTTTTTTCTGGCCGTAGCCCAGCTCGGTTCCCTCGGCTGCCCTGGACTCACCGATTTTGTGCAGGTGAAGGTGCCTCTGCACCTCCCCTGGCGTGGGGCTGGCTCCCAGGCACCGCATCACGGCCATCAGGTCGCTGGCTTTGATCTTGCCTTTCTGTTTCTTGTCGTACAGGGAGAAGCATTCCTTGAACTCTAATTAAAAACCAAAACTCGCCGTTATGCCATGTAAGGTTACCTCGAGCTGCAGCCCTGCTCCTGCTGCCTGCGGGGCGGCGTTGGTCGGGTTCCAGCGGGGATATTGTGTCTGCCTCCGGTGTCTCCTTTCACAGAGATACTGGTTTGGGGGAAATGGGGGGGGAAAGGACCTGGAATATACTGCCAAGGGTAATTAAAAGTCCAGGCTTACAACTAACTGAGCTGATTAGGGTCCTTCGGTCTAATGAGGGAAGTCTGAAAGCGGAGCCTGGTCTGCAACCGAGTTCAGGACCATTAGGAAGCGTTTTTCTCCCCGTTCCTGGGGGCAGGAGGGGGGCTGGAGGCAGGGTTCGGTCCCCGCAGGTGGAGAGCTGGACCTTCAAATGCCAGGTGAAGCAAGGGGTAATGCAAAGCACAGCGGGGTTTCCAGAGGAGCTGGGAGAACCCAAAACCCCAAAACCAGCCTCTTCCACACCCCCCCATCACCCCCATCCTCGGTGCCCCTGTGGGGGCCGGGTGCCCATGGGGGCTGTGGCCCCAGCTGCCCCCTCCCACGTTGCTGAGCCGCAGCTTAACAGCTTTGCAGTAATACTTGCAGTAATACTCTTACTCCAGCTCTCTTCCGTGTTTCTAGTAGCAAACCCTTCCTGCTTGAGGCAGGGGCCCCCTTCCCAAAACCAGCCCCCATTTCTCGCCCCGAGCCCCCGCTGCCCTGGGCTGGCAGCGAGGGTTTGTCCCCTCACCCCCCTTTGCTCTGATTGGAGGTGAAATGGTTGTAGGTGAAAAAAACAAAAAAGTACTTACCATTAATTTGATCCTGCGACAGAAATTTTGCCTGCAGCGAGAAAAAAGGGAGAGAACAGCAACACAACTTTAAAATCTGGAAGGGGGGGTACAGGGGGGTGCGGTTTGTATCAGCCCAAACCCTCACTCACCATTATTTTGGGTCTTTCCGTGTGTTTCAGGCTGTGGGGACGGGCGGCTGCTGCCTTCGGTGTCAGAAGGGCTAAAGTCCGCCAGCCCTGGGTGGCGAGGCAGGGCTGTAATAAATACCCCGCTGCCATGGCTACCGGGCCTGATCCCTGCCCGGCCGCATCCCGCAAGGCCCCGAGCTCTTACACAGGGCCGGGAGAGGAGGATTTGAGCCCAGATGCCGAAGCAGAGGGGGGTCTGCAGGAGGTGGTTGGGTTTAAAACCTTTTTTTTGGGGGGAGGCAGCAGCCTCCGGCTTGTGGGGCCTAGCCCGGATAGCTGCGCTGTGTTATGGCCCCTTGTGGTGCCAGGCTTGTGGCACTCGGTTGACATGCAGGGTATTAAAAAGCAAGGATTATGGATAAAAATGCTGAGCAGAACTCAATGTTTTGTCCCAAAATAATAAAAACGGAGCCACCAGCTCAGCTGGGCGCTGCTGTGCCCTGCTGGATCCACCGGCAGCCCCTAAATAACGCCTTCAATGAGCGCTGCAGCACGGCCGCATCCCTCCCAGCCTGCTACACCCCGAGGCACCGGGTCCTTGAGTCCTTGGGATGAAGATTCTCCCCTCAGGGAACAACTGCTTCAAGTCACTCGGCTTTTATCAAACGTTTTTATTCAGTCTGTTTTGCTATTAAGTTTATTTTTTAACCACATGGGTTCTGTCACACCGGGGTTTGATACAGACTTTGTGGACGTAAACCATGACAGGGATTCAGCCGGGGTTGGAGGAGCTCAGCTCCATCACCTGAGTAGTGAGCGGGTACAGAAAATAATGCTACCGGGGGGGCGTAGGGGACCTGCAGGATCAGCCCTTTGTGCCTGGGGGCTCGTACGAAACCTCCCCTCCTTAGCTGGGTCTGGGTAACACAGGACATGCCTTGCGCCTACGTCAGTCAAGGAATTTATTTGAAATGCCTCTACATTAGAAAAACTATTTTTTTTTTCCTTTGAATCACTCAGAAATATCAAAACTTAGAAACTTTCCTTTCCTGCGTGGAGGTTGTTCATGTGCAGGGTGTAAAAAGCCCATGGCTCGGGGATATAGATCACGCCAGGGTACTTCTTCCTGAGGATTTTGTCGTTCCACAGCCAAATCACCCAGACAGCAATGAGGACCAGCGTTATGATGAACGAGTAGAAGAGGAAAAGCCCATTGCTGTCCAGGACGAGTCCTTTGCGTTTCTGGTGCATCACCAAAGCCATCATGGCGAAGAAAGTGAAGATGTAGAGGATGAAGATCTGCCCCTCTGTCACGAGATACCTGCAAAGCAAAAGGAGCCGTCAGTGCTCTTCGTGGGGAGCTGGGCTCTGCAGCCAGGTGAGCTGAGCTGTGCTGCTGCCGTGGGCAGCCCTAAAATTCACATTTTCCACGAGTAGTTGTCCAGGCTGTTTGTAGTGACAGTAAGAACTCCTAGCAGTAAGTATCCAACATATTTTTCCTTTATTAAAGCAGGAATTGGGGGAGAGGCAGCAAACTCATCGGGAGTGGAATAAACCAGATGTTTGGGATGAGAGCTCCTGGGAGAGCCCACGTGGGTGGAGGGGCAGGTGGGGTTAGCAAATGGGTGCCTCCTTGCAGAGACCTTGCTGAGGAGCCGCTGGGCTGCCAGGAGAAAGGAGAGGAACTGCACTCAATGCGTCTTAAATCACCAGCACACAAATTGCAGAGACTCACGCTGATGTATTTAAAGGAAGTGCAGTGGGGTAACTGGGAACTGACCAAATCATCCTGATGATTTTGACTATCAAAAATTAATTTACTGTATAAGAACAGGCTCAGCAGGGGGGGCAAAGCCACAAGCAAGAGAGAGCATCATCTCTGAAGATGAATGGGAAGTTGTTTGGCTGCCATCAGGGAAACAGTTTGGGAAGATGAGGCTACTGAAAATGAGAAATAAATAAGACCTCTCTCAAAAGGCTATTTGGACCCGCAGGGCAAGCCAAGGAGGCAGCGTAACAGCATCAGGCAGGCAGCCTGGGCTCTACGTAAAATCTCTGTACCACTGGTGAGAGCATCCCCGTTACCACAAATGGCCTGAGACCAGGTGGATGTGCTGTGGGCACCAGATCACCCCAAAATCATCCAGGATCTGTCAACCTGGGCAGCGACCGGCTTTGAAGAGGGGGCAGACAGCAAGCAGAGGCTGAAAGCCTGGGCTCCAGCAATGTCAGCCTCTGTCAGGCTTCCTGAGACAGAGGTGGAGGAGCAGGAGGACCACGGAGCGCTGAGCAGGTGGGGCTGGGACAACCAGTGCCCAAACTCAACAGGGGAATAATAGCGTGGTGGAGGGAACACCCCAAGCAGGGAAAAGGACACACTGTGCTGAAGCTCTCCCAGCTGGTAAAGGCTACACAGGCTGCCCATTGAAATGAGATTTGATTTTTCCAGGCTTGCATAGGAGGAGCTACAGCAACTTCTGCTCTGGGGAAGGGAGAGTTCCTGCTGCACCCTACAGAGCCTCCTGTGCTGCTCCCTTCATCCCGCACCTCTCCGAGAGGACAGAATTCACTTACCAGTAATAAAGGCTGCTCGGCCCCATCAGCAGCAAGGCAGCCACCGGCATCCTGCTCTCATCTTCAACAGGAGTGAAGCAGCCAGTGAAATATATGAACAGGATCAGAAAGAAAGGGATGTACCTGCGAGCAGAGACAGAGCTCCTGTGGGTGGTGTGACCCCACAAAGTGGCACCACGGTGCGCCGAGCCCTGGTTTACCTCCCCTCCTGTGCCATGGTGGCTGCAAAGGTGCAACCAGCGTCACCTTTAATTTTTTTAATTTAATTTTTTTTTTTTTAATTTTTTTTAATTTTGGGATTTGCTTCATGCTGCCTGAGGAACAGCAAAGCAACCTGAAAAGGGGAGAGATCTCCCTGTCCCCTGCCTGGGACGTGTAAGGATAACCAGCAGCGGATAAAGGGCAGAGCTCTGGGGCTGCAGAGCAGTGACACCAGCCTGCCCAGGGCTTGAGCGTGGGGTGTGCTTGCACTGGGGCTGAGACGTGCTCCATCAGGGCCACAGGCAGGCACCCGGTGCTTGTAGGACCAGCCTGGGGCAGCACTGCTGTTGTGGTGGTGAAATCTGTCCCTGAATTACCACAGGAGCAGTGTGGCCAAGCAGCCTCTGCCACTGCAGACACAAGGGCGCCTGCCCTCTGGCCGCAGGGTCACCAAATGGCTGCATGGTGGAGGAGGAGAACAAGCACAGGGACAGTGAGACAGGGCAAAATCAGGCTGTATCAGCTGGTCTCCAGAGGAGCAAAACCCTCAACAAGTCTTCAGCGGCCTCAGCCTGGCACTGTAGCTGGCCTGGGAAAGGTGGCTGGGGGAAGAGAAGAGCAGGGCTGCTCCTGCTGCTCCCCACAGCTGTCAAACAAGCTGCACATCCTCGAAATATCAGTGAGAATGACAGGGGCAGGAAAAAAAAAACTAGCAGGAATGGGCAATTTTCCAAGGGAGAGAGCCACTGTAATTACACTAGCTGTGAGAATATTATCCCTAGCCTGCTCTCATCAGCTGTGCTTTATTTTTTACGTATTAACCTACAAAGAGCCCTGGCCTGCCTTTCCTTGCATTGTTCTGGGGCCACCAGATAGGCTGGAAATTGCTTACCACATCGAGTGACCTAAATATTCATCGTAGTAGTACAGCAGCTCAAAGGAATCAATCTGCAATGCAACGAAACAGATTTAAAAGGGCAAAAAGGGAACAGAGCACCGCGAAACGAGAACAAGCAATTAATACTTGTTTTAAGTGCTTGTCTAAAACGTCCTCTTTACCAGTGTCTCCGGCTTCAGGTTCTTGATGATGGGGTTCTCCCTTACAGACAGATGGTGCTGGTAGCCGCTGAAAATCAGGCGATGGTTTACGGAGTCCCCAACCAGGTGGATGCTCGCGCCCATGACGAACATGATGATGCTGACGTACACCATGGAGCGTGGCAAGGTCTTAGGGGAGCGCTCGATGAGCTGAAAGCGCAGAGATGGTGAACAGTCAGGAGGCACGAGCACAGAGGGGTGAGGCCGTGACAAACTCTGCCCTCTCCCACTTTTACAAGGGCTTGCAAACGTCACCTTGAGACCTGTGGAGATGTTTTGCTGCCGTAGCAGAGGTGAGCTGCTGCCCGCAGCTGCCAGCGCCTTGCCTGGATTTGTCCACCCCAGGCAGATCAGTGTGACCGACCCCAAGGGAATGCGCTTCCCTGACCACAGCTGCTTTCCCTACAAACATCTCAGACGTGTTTCTACCAGCCTGGGTGGTTTTCAGTTTCCAGTACACACTCCTCTTCCTTTTTGCAACAAACAAACCACATTTTTGGCCTTGCTGAAGCTTTCTGCAAAGCAGCACCCTCACCTGAGCCAAGGCTTCGGCTGCAGCAGTGTCCCGGCACTTCTACTGCAGCACTCAAAGCAGCTCAGCCACCAGATGTGATCAAACCATGATTAATTAGAAACAAAAAGGCAGCTGCTTTCTAGAGCTCCTTGCCTCTTTGAAAGCCTCCCTGTGCCCTCCAGTGGCGAGCAGAACCTCCAGCAGCACTCCCACGGCGCTTGGCACAGACACTTGTTCCTTTGTACCTCTCTGCTGGATCGCTTTCAGAGGCCTCTTGGTGAGTTGGTGGTGTTTTTTTTTTTTTCTTCTTCCTAATGGAATTTGACTCAAGCCTCCCCGTGTGTTTGGCTCTAAAGAAGAGGCTTCAACCGATCTGCTACGTAAGAAAACTCTGCCTGCTGACACACCGGGCCTGTGGGTGAGGCACCCCTGGGAATACCAGTGGCGGATTTAATGCTGAGCTCTCCCTGTCCCATCTTGTGGTCTGCCCGGGTCTGGGTGGAGGCAGGCACGTGGGGCTGACGTGGAGCCCAGGGAGCCTGCGGCGAGATCTTGCAAGCCCGGTTGGGGAAGAGAAACAAGGGTGGCTTAACCCGCACGGAGCTCCCTGCTCAGCTTGCAGAGCGGGGAAGGTCTCCAAATACATCGCTAAGGTGCTTCAGCCTGTGGGACCCAGCCCCTCTCCGAGCATCTGCTGGAGCATCCTCTGCCTCCCCGTGCTGCCAAAGCAGCTTTGCAGCCCTTCGTCTGCATAAACA